ACAAAGCATGTCATCTATTACCTAGTAACACAAATAATGTCATATATTACCTAGTTTCACAAACTATGTCATATATTATCTAGTAACACAAACTATGTTATCTATTATCTAGTAACACAAACCATGTTATCTATTATCTAGTAACACAGAGTATATCATCTTTCATTTACAAGCAAATTGAAACAAATATCCAATGAAGTTTTAACAGTTTCAGTTAGAGAAATCTCTGGGTTTTCTTTTAAAAAAATCCATATCTCTATTAAAATAATCTTTATTATATTTTAAGACATCTAATATTAGTTTGAAAAGCTGTTTGTTTAATTGGATTAGATACATGGATGTCTTTAAAAACGTGAAAAATATCTCGAAATTAGTTAAAAAATGTATTTAAATATAATTGACATTATCTCTTACAACTAGAAATAGCTCGGATATTTTAAAAATGTAAATACGATATCTCGTAAATGAATAGATATCTCCAATATTTATGAGATGTTTCATAAAATGGATGGGATGTATCTTTAAGATACTAAGTATTAATTTGAATCCCCATATTTCTCCCCCTTTAAATACTCACTTCTACACCAAAGTTGCTCCTGGGACTGTACATAGCAAGAATAGATTCCCAGCGATCTGTGAATGGGTTGTACCGCTCCGCAGTGCTCATCCGAGAGATACCATTGAACCCCCCTACAGCATATATCTGGTCCCCGTAGGCCTTGACACCTAAACCACTACGTCTGCTGCGCATGGGCGCAAAACATGTCCACTGGTTTGCGTAAGGGTCGTAATATTCAGTCGAATTCAAACATTCCTCTCCATTGAATCCGCCACAAATGTAAATCTTTTCTGAATTGTAGCAAATAAAGATATGCTAGTTACACCAATAATTTGTAGTTTCCAAATGTATTTATATTATTTAATAAATTAAAATAAAGTAAAATACATGTAACCGGTCTGTGATATGGCAACTCGTAAATATCATAACGGAAAGAATAGAATTAGAAGCAAACTTCTGAATACCGAATAAACTGCGACACGTTTACACTGTAGGTTGCGAAGCAGGGATGTTAATGTCAAGAAAGGGCAGTTCATGACAGGAAACTGCGTCTTTCAACGACAACTGAAGGAAGATGCGTGTTTCCAAAGTTGACTCACATAGTGATTGTACATGTTAATGTTTTGCATAATATTACAGTACTCTTATTGGTTGTGAATATAATTATGCTCTTCCAGTTGTCGTATCCGCTGTTTCACTATACATTGCTACGGTAACTAAGTAAGTAGAGTGTAGGATATACGCGTTGCTCAATGGTTCCGATACGTGTTTGTTTCTATGTTTCTGAATTATCTTTGAAGGAGGAAGTAAGCGTTTCTATTGTTACTGTACCGTGTAGTGTTGTGGCGCTAGCGTCACTGCGCTGGTGGTTCATAGGCGCGATGTTCATCCACTGATTACGACCGGGGAAGTATCGCTCCGCCGTGTTCAGCCTCACGTGACCATCGAATCCACCAATGGCATAGATACAACCTCGTAGTACAGTCGTACTCACGTAACACCTGAAAACAAACGCGGAAAACGTTTTAAAATAGCTAACATCAAGCGCTATACATCTTTCAAATCCAGACTGAAGCAGATTAAATTAACTGAATGGTGGTCGGAAATTGTTGTAGCGAGCCAGTTTTAGACTGAAATCATCCCGCTATCTATGTTTTATAGTCGATGCACTAACTAATTCACACACAAAAACACATTTTAACTCTTCCACAATTCAATGGTTGGAACAGTTCATTATGAAATTTCAGGGGTGAA